ATTATATGTATATCAAATAATTTACCTTAAGTAAATTTCTTTATGGTTTGTTTTCAGTAACAGTTTGATTTATTTACCAATTTTATATACCTATGTACCTGAGGTCACATAAAAATTTCTCAGGTGACAAGGGGGTCACAAGTGAAAAATGTTCTTTTACTTTTTTTTAGATTTATTTTTACTTATGTGTGTGCTTATGTGAATTTGTGTATGGCCGCCCATGGAGGTCAGAGGAGAGGTGGTTGGGAGCTGCCCACATGGGTGTTGGGAACTGGAATTCAGTCCTCTTGAAAGGCAGCACATGCTCTTGCACTGAGCTATCTCTCCAGCCCCACAAGTGATAAAAGTTTAAGAAGTCTTGAAGTAGATGATGAAGCTCTGGGGTCAGGGAGAGAAGAGGACGTTCGGGGGTCACTGAGGCACCAAAACTGGAACTGCATTATATGTGCATATCTTACTTTCTGGGTACAGGATAGATGCTAGGTGAAAATTCTCAAAGGAGTATATGTCCCTTGTTCTTATCCCCAGTTCTCCCCAGTCTGTACTCCCTGGGGGACTTCTCTGACCTTCTATGACCTGTCCTGTGTCCCAGATGAACTGATATTGTGAATGCATGTCCTGGACTTTCTGAGTCTCCGGTTGACCTGGGCCAAGGCAGGAGAGAGGCCAGCCTTGCTGTGGAAGTGGCCTTGCCAAGCCCCTTGGCCTAGCCCCTACTTGGGCCCATCTTGGATATGTCACTTTGCTATGTTTCCTTCAGGACCCCCATCAAGCATTCCTGGTGTCTCCATGCCAAAACTAATAATAAACCTTGGGTGCACACTTCACGGCTGAGGGAGCCAGAGTAATGACACAGCTTGCTCAAGGTCACCCCAAGGCCGACTCAGAGTCCACTGTTCTGGGCCCCCCCATGCCCTCTGCTAGGGACAGCCTTCTCACCTGGGCAGTAGCAGCGCAACACCCCGGGCTGAATCAGGGATGCAGGCACGGAGATCTGGTCGAACAGGCAGCTGTAGTTATTGCTGGCTTCTTGCCATGGGCCTGTGATGAGGACCTTCACTCCTCCCTGGAAGGGACAGAGGGGAACAGAGATGGAGCAGTGCCACTGGGAAGGTCCCTGCAGCTGCTCAGAAGGGAGGGGTGGGGACTGCCGGTTGAGCATGCAGATTCTCAGCCCGCACCCCACCATTCCAATAGACTTTGACTTTGAGGCCGTTCTCAGCTGGGACCCAGCACCCTGCCCCTGTCCTGTGCAGCTCAAAGTCGCAGGCCACTAGCAGGGAGAAGAGCCTGCCATACTGCTTTAGCCCACAGTGCACCTGAGAACAGGTCGGCAGAGGTCCCCAGGAAGGAAGCAGAGGGGGTCCAGGGAGATTTTCTGTCATGCACTAAGGGAGAGATAGAGAAACTTCTGAGATTTGCAAACAAATCTGAGGATCCCAGGGGCCAGATGTTCTTGTAGGAAACTGAAGTGTGACTCAGGACCCCAATGGTGGGACACAGTAAGGGGAGGGAACCAGGAAGGAGTGAAGAACACCATGGGGAGGCAGAAAAGTGATGCACTCAGAGTCTGAGGGGTTCAAATGTGGCCATGGGAGCTGAGTTGGGCACTCGAACTGGGATTTGAGGGTGGAGACTGAGCCTCTATTTCCCTGCCTGCCTGCTGTGTCATGTAAGGTACCTGGAGCTATACAGACAAGTGAATGACCCCTCACTGACACACACACAGGGACCGACCAGCAGACTGATCCACAAGGCCTCAGCTGACCTTCCTTAGCTCTGGCGGAGGGAAAACTGTTCCTGCAGATCTAAGGCGCCATAGTGGGAGACCATCAGAAAAGGCTGGGCCCTCCCTAACCTACTCTGGTCACCGGAATGCCCCAGAGCAAGGACAGTATCCTCGTGTGGCTGCGGCTGGCCCCGGAAGTCCCTTTCAGGGTCATTGTTTCCTTTAATGATTAATGGAACCTCATCTTCTCTCACTCTACTGAGCCCCAGGCAGAGGAGGGTAGAGGTCCCCTACTTACGGCTTAGACAAGAAGAGGGGCTGGTCATGCGCGGTGGAGGGAGTCTCTGCCCAGGGATGCAGAGGGCAGGGGTGCTGGCCTCTGGCTCTCCTGGCTAACCTTGGACAGGCCCACCCCAGAGACTCATCCACCCCGCCCCCAAACAAGTAAACACCTTTCCCAGCAGGGGGGTGGAGAGCTGCGCTGTCCAGTGTGGAGAGCGCCACCTGGTGCCCAGGCTGGAGAAGGCCGAGAGGTGCGCCGGGAGCTGGAGAGACAGGCTGATGTTGCTGCCCCAGGTCAGCCCATCCCAGTCTCTCCCATTCAGCCCTTTATTTTTGCTTACTCTCCTTGGCCCTTGTCCACCAGTCCCTGCAGGGAGCCCCAACCTCCACACCCATCTTACTTTCCAAGCTCCTGTTCCCCTTTATTCCCAGACTTAGCCTAGCAGGTCTGGCCTTGGGCATAAGGAGCAGACGGGGCTGTCTACTGGAAGGATGAGCTGGGGTTATCCCTGGCCCAGAGCAAACAGACTCGCTCTTGGCTGGAAGGTGCCCTCCTGTACTGGTAAACGAGCCTTCCACTGGGCTGGCCTGGCTGGCTTAGGAGAAGCCACTTTATTGAGGGCCAGTGGAGAGAACTCAGGACAGAGGTCCAAAAACAGGATGTTTTCCTTTGCCCCTCAGTAGCTGTGTGATCTCAGGCAAGTGGCCCAGCCCCCGCCTGCCTCCCTGGTGGCTGTGATTTTAGAGGCATTTCTGGCCTTAACAACACCTGGTTCTGATGTACAGCCCTAGAGGGAGTTTTGGAGCTCTGTCATAGTGATGGTGTAGGGGCTGGAAGTGGCTGTCTGATTGCAAATCTGGCTCAGAGCATGGTCCTCCCACGAACCCTGGGAAGTGAGAGACAAGCATCTTCAAAAGGCCATGGACGGTCACCATGGGAGGAAAAAAGATGATGATGACCCCAGTCCAGTGCTGGCGAAGGGTTGCTGTGGGGGAACAAGGAGCTGCAGAGATGGATGGAGAACATCAGGACCTTCTCCATGGCAACCGCCCCAGGATGCCTCAGCATCCGTCAGTTCAGGGGATGGTTTCCATGGCAACCACTGCCTAGCTGCACTGAATCATTTGTGATGTGTACATGCCTGATGGCTCTAATTGCAGCCTCTTTTGCCTGGTGCAGCAGGAGCCAGTGGCGGGAGGTGATGTAGGGGGGAGGGGTTGCTGAGTGGGGGAGGGGTTGTGATGAGCAGGATGCCATCTGAAGTTTGTGTCCTTGAGTCCTGAGCTGAAGGACCCTGAGTTCCAGTGTAGCCGGGACAGATACTGGCTCCCACGAACCCTGGGAAGTGAGAGACAAGCATCTTCAAAAGGCCATGGACGGTCACCATGGGAGGAAAAAAGATGATGATGACCCCAGTCCAGTGCTGGCGAAGGGTTGCTGTGGGGGAACAAGGAGCTGCAGAGATGGATGGAGAACATCAGGACCTTCTCCATGGCAACCGCCCCAGGATGCCTCAGCATCCGTCAGTTCAGGGGATGGTTTCCATGGCAACCACTGCCTAGCTGCACTGAATCATTTGTGATGTGTACATGCCTGATGGCTCTAATTGCAGCCTCTTTTGCCTGGTGCAGCAGGAGCCAGTGGCGGGAGGTGATGTAGGGGGGAGGGGTTGCTGAGTGGGGGAGGGGTTGTGATGAGCAGGATGCCATCTGAAGTTTGTGTCCTTGAGTCCTGAGCTGAAGAGTTCCGAGTTCCAGTGTAGCCGGGACAGATACTGGAGCACAGGGAACAATGTGTGTGTGTGTGTGTGTGTGTGTGTGTGTGTGTGGTATGTTCTGGGTGTGGTATGTATATTTGGTATTGTGTTGTGTGTTCTGTGCTCTGCATGTTGTATGTGGGCTATGTTGTAGGGTGTGGTATGTGTTCTGTGTGCTGTGGTGTTGTTGGGGTGTTTGTATGTTGTATATTCTGGGTGTGGCATGTATATTTGCTATGTATACATTGTGTTGTGTGTTCTGTGCTCTGTAGGATGTATGTGGGCTATGCTGTAGGGTGTGGTATGTCTTCTATGTGCTATGTTGTGTGTATGTGTGTATGTGTGTGTGTTGCGGACCAGCTGCAACTGGAGGTGACCAGGTGGGTAGAGCAGATATGACAGCAGTGATGGGAGGGAGGCAGACTCAGAGAAGGGCCAGCCAGCCAGCTGGGCACAGTACTCCTGGGAACCACTGCAGTTTAGAGCTGGAGGTGGGTACCAAGTGACCATGTAGCCTGACCTCATTTGTGACTTGAAGTGAGGCCCCAGAAGCATGGTTTGCTAAAGAGCCCTTCCTGAGCTGACCAGAGCATGGCTCAAACAGGGCTCCTGTTGCAGTCAGTGTGCAAAATAGCCGCAAAACTGGCTGGCTGGGGAGGCGGGCAGGATGCCTGGCAAGCATGGCCACAAGTGTCAGGAGAGAAGTGTTGCCTTTCACAAAACCAGGTGACCCTGCTCTTGGCCTGGGGACAATGTCTTGGGTACGAGAACCTGCAAGGAGGAGGCCATCTCCAGGGCTTTGCCATGTCAGGCATCAATAAGGCATTTTCTTCTCAACAGGATGGCTGGCTGCCACTGTATTTCCTGATCTTGGGCTGCCCTCTGGTGGCCAAATGCCGAACTAGCTTTCTCTGCTGTTCAGTTTGAAGCAACCCAGGCTGGAAAGAACAGCAGAAACCAGGCCCAAGACTGCTAGAGTGCTGGTTTGGATCCAGCCAGGACCTGGACTTACAGGCCAGGGCCCCAGGGAACAAAATGATCCCCTCTCACCTCCCAGATGCTGCAGGGAGCCTGCAGGACCCTGTGTGAGGGCTGTACCTCCCAGGATCCAAGTCTAGTCCCTCTGCTGTGCGTTATTAAAGAAACTGAGGCCCAGAGGGTCAGACCTCAAAGGCATATCAGAAGACAATGCTGACCTTCCCAGGATACCTAGTCCCAGCCTTCCCTCCTGATCCTTTCAAAGGCTTTCCTAAGCTTCCTGGGGGGCTTTGGGTGAGAATAGAAACAATGATTTTTGCTTTAGAGAGCAGGGTGATAGTGAAAAGTCACTCTAAGTCATACCAGGAGGAAGCCTACTGGAGGTCCTTACCAAGGGAGTGGGACCAAATGGAGGTGGACAGAGAGGCTGGGGACTTACTTCATTTACTCCTCGGTGACCCCAGTGAGGTCCCACGGCTGCTATTTTAGAGCTAGGGGAGGTAACGACTTGCCCAAGGTCACTGATGCATAAGGGTAGATCCAGGATTCGCATCCAGACCCTCCAGCTTTAGTGCCGTGCTTCTGGTCATTCAGGCATGGCAGCTGCCTCTCTGCTTCCACCAACATCCTGTGCACTTTCACAGAGCGTCTGGGCAGCAGCTGCTCTGCCTAGACACATGCCTGCTTTCCAGGCCGCCTGTCCAGAGGCTGGGCTGCAACCTGTGCTGCTCTGATGCCTTTCCAGCTAAGGGCATTTGTGCACAGATTGTCTTAGCTTGACTTTACCAGAGGGAGAAGTATGAGTCTGTGCTCTGGCTGGTTGGCACCTGGAATAGGCAGCAAGGAGACTGAGGGAGTTGTGGGCAGCTACCCCTGGGGTAAAGTGTCTGATTCAGGATCTGGAGGACATGCTGGTGCAGTCAGAGAGCTCCAGGCTCTGCCATAGGCAGGAGAGTATTTAAAGAGAGCCAGGGCCACACCGCCCTCTTCCTATCCCATTCTATTTTAGAGAAAAAGCAGAGGTTCCCCTTAAATATTAGTGCCCCCAAGGCAAGACCTGGACCTTCCTGCGGCCCTGTTGGAGCAGTGCCTGGGAAGTGAATTGGTCCTGTGTCAGACAGCACGCCTTTGATTTGCAAATGGCCCAGGGTTCTGAAGCTGTGTCCTCCTTTTCACTTGATGGGAAGTTTCCCTGTTTGCTTTAGTGATGCCAAGCACGCACAAGCGGAACAGGTGGCTCACAGCGGCGAATTCTGAATGATTCTTAAAGCAGCACTGAAACCCTTTTCCAAACCAAAAAAAAAAAAAAAATGGGGGGGGGGGGGGGAAATGGAGGGGGAGAAGGAGAGGAGAGGGAAAGCGAGGGGAAGGAAATTGGAAAATAAAAAAAAAAAAAAAAAAAAAAAGGAAGGGAGGGAGGGAGGAATGGAAGGGGGGAAAGAGGAGAAGAGGAAAGCCAGAGGAAAGGAAATGGAAAAATCTAGGTGTGGACTCCGCACAAGCCAGGAAACAGCAGACTCTTCTGGCCAGAGCTGGGAAGGGCAGTTTGCCTTCAGGATACCACTGACTGGAAAGCTACTCCCTACAGAGAAGTCAGAGACACTCAGGGAGGGAACAGCTTTGCATTTAAGGACCACAGCTTCATCCAGAGAGTGGCCACATCTAGGCAAGTTTCCTTTGGTTACATGATGGCCCAGGTGAGGTGGGGGGTGGGGTGGTAGCTGGTAGAGCAACTACAGCTTACCTCTGGGTAAGACCACTCTGGGGAGTAGTCGGTCACCATGAACACCCGTCCGCTCTGCTGCAGCATCCCCAGGGTGCCCTGGGCTGAGGCGGCAGAGACCACCTCTGCAACATGCATGTAGGCCATGGTGCTGGCCCCACCCTCGGCACTGCTCAGCTGCAGACTGCCCTGCTGGGGGCTGCAGCAGGGGATACACATCTCTGCTTGGGTGAAGGGGACACGTGTCCCGTCTTCTGACTGTGAGAGCGCGGTGCTGTCCCCAGACACCAGCTGGTGCCCATAGATGGTACCGCTGCCCCCCTCCACAGAGATGAAGTCATTGATCAGGTCTGAGAATTGATTGCTGAAGGAGATGTCAAAGTGGTCCAGGCTGAGCTCCATGTTGGAGGCATTGCCCAGGCTGGGCTGGGCCACAGGGTAGAGTCCCTGCACCACGTTGCTTGGGAGAATGGGGACACCACCAGCGGTGCGGATCACCCCATTCGTCTCCGGCTGCAGGTAGTGCTCTGAGCCACAGGCCTGCAGCTCCCCAGACTTTAGGAGGACCTCGCTCCCTTCGGCTGCCTGTGATGTCTCCATTGTGACCTCCCCTTCTGCTGTCATGGCCTGGAAGTTGGCCTGGAACTGCATGAGGTGCAGGGAGGAAGTGGACTCGATCCGGGTCTCCACATGGCCGCTGCAAGAGCTGGTCTGAGACGAGGCCTCTGTTTTCACCGTGGGCATCACAAAGGTGGCCCCAGAGTCACTCAGGCTGCTGTGGGCATTCTGCTCAAGGGGGAGGGGTTTGCTGGCGTCCTGCAGGAAGAAGCTGGGGGAGGGGGTCTGGTGGATGTGAGGGCTGTGGCCTGTCTGGCTGAAGCTGGACGTGTAGTCCTTGTTGGAATCTATGGCACTGAAGTCCATCTGTTCGAGGGTGGTGCTGGGACTCAGGCCACCGCCTGAGGGCAGGAGGCTGGAGCCTGCAGTCAGGGTGAGGGAGCTGGATGCTGCAGCCGCTGCAGAGGAGGAGTATGCCGCCTCTTTGGCCATCTGCTGCTCAAAGGAGGTGTCCTCTGTCTTGATCTCCTTGGCCAGGACGCTGGTGAAGCCAAAGCTCCTCTCTGTAGGCGGTGAGTGCCGGATGTTGGTGTTGACCATCTCGGCTTTCAGGCCCCCACCCCCATATGTCTGGCCCTGCTTTGGGTTATTGAGGAAACAGTCAGGGTCAAAGTTCATGGTGGTTTCTGGAATCTTCCGGCCACCATCAAGGGTGGTGGAGAGGACCAGCTCTTCAGACACATTCGTGGGCAGCATGGACAGGCTATCTGAGCTGCCCGTGGTGGGGAAGGCAAACTTGTGGCCGTCAGAACTTACAGCCAAGACGAGGCCCTGAGAGGCATCAGGCGAGAGGAGGTGGTGGTTGGGGCCGGCGGTGGGGGACATGGTGTATACAGCTTCGTTGGTGACCTCCGACATGAACACTGTGGCGCTTTGGGACAGGCCCCCCATCACGGAAGCCACTGCCATGCTAGACACACCTGTGACGACGGGGCTGTCCACCATGTCTGGGTCACTGTTGAGCCCGCTGCTGATGGACACGGGGGAGCTCTGGGTGGTGTCAGGGACCTCCACCTGGTTGGTAGAGGAGACCTCGGTGCTATTTTGGTGCAGCAGTGCTGGCTTGGCCACTTTGCCATTTCTCTTCTCTCGGCTCGTGCTCTTGCCATGGCTGGGTTCATGCTTGCCTTCTGATACGTCATTGTGTTGCACTTCTGAGTGGCTCCCGTAGCCCCCGGCCCTTGGCTCTACTTTTGGTGAGATGATGCGGTGTTTGGCACTATTACACTTGTGGTGCACACTGCTGCCCGCTCCTGTGGAGATTGGAGCACAACACACACACACACGTACACACACACACACACACACACACACACACAC